CCCCCCCCCCTCCTTTCCGGGCCATCAGTCCATCGTCATTGATCGTCCTTCTCCATCCATAGGCCTACCTGCTCTACATTTTCTTCCCGATCAAAACAGACTCCGAATCGGGAACAATCTACTCCTCCCACTTGTCTACGATAGGAAGACAAACAAATTGCGAGAGAAAGTGTCAACTTTCATTTTTGATAGTGAGAAATGAAATTATCAGTTTTTTTCCGACCTTTCTAAGACCAAACACAGCGTACCAGAACGTCGAAAGGTCAGGCGTGGATCAGCCCACACAGGGGCGCTAATCCTTTCCCTTATCTGACCGACGTGCCCCGGCCCACGCCCGTAGCGAGCCGGTCGACCCTCATTTCCCAATGCTCGAAGTGCCGATAATGACCATTAGAAATGCACGTCGGCAACATGAGAATCTGGCAATAATTATTTCACAACTGACTTCAAAGCTGTCTTAAGATGTTCAATGGTTCAAGAATCAGACAAGCTAAAATAGTAAAATGCATTGACATGGGAAAATAGTTAAAGAGTAACAAGAATTAAGGGGGTTGTGAACTGATTTATTGGGGCCTTGTGTAAAAAATAATAGTACAAATAAGTTAAGTTACAGTAAACATCACTGGTTCAATAAATGCTGGTAACACTAGGGGTGTAAGTTCTACCATGACAATGTGGTGGAGTTGTATACATGAGTAATCCATAGTTAGCTGCCCGCAGCTGCAATGAAGCTCAGTTTGCTGATTTGAAGTAGTCTTTGGAGCCAACAGGGTCTGGCTTCATGGTCTTCTGACCAGGCTTCCATCCAGCAGGGCACACTACAAGTAAAGAAAGGTTGGATAAGGGATCAAAACTTAAAATGCCTCAATCAGGAAGAAAAACAACGTTGGAACTTACCTTCTCCGTGCTCATCGGTGTACTGGAAGGCCTGCACAAGGCGGAGAGTCTCGTCAACTGATCTACCAACGGGGAGGTCATTAACAGTGACCTGACGAAGGTTCTGGAAACAAGAAATAATAGTTAGAATTGAGCGTTACCAATTCTCTGGGAAATAGTTTGTCTGAACTTGAGGTACTTACGCCCTTCTTGTCAATGATGAACAGGCCTCTGAATGGAATGCCAGTCTCCTCATTGTAAACACCGTATGAACGGGCGATCTTGCCAGACTTGTCAGCCAGCAGGGGGATGGCCATACTTCCTAAGCCACCCTCCTTGCGAGGAGTGTTGACCCACGCCAAGTGGGAAAAGTGGCTGTCACATGATGCAGCAATGACTTCACAACCAATGCGCTTGAACTCCTCAACTCGGTCTGAGAAGGCAATGATCTCAGTTGGGCACACAAATGTGCTGCAAGAACATAAAAAACATTAAAGATAAGCAAGGGTTAAAGATAAGTAACTATACCAAACAAAGAACTGCACTTACAAGTCCAAGGGGTAGAAGAAAAGAACAACGTATTTGCCAGCGTACTGGCTCAGATTGATCTCCTTGAACTGGCCATCAACCACAGCGGTGCCGGCAAAGGCTGGTGCGGGCTTCTGAAGATCGGGAACGGGCATCTGCAACAAAGCACCGCAAAGGTTCAACTCTCCATTCAACCACCAAGGTTGAGCGCACGAAGAGGTTAATCACCGCTGGCGCTTGGTTAACCAGCGGTTGAGCATTGCACGCCTTATCTAAGACAGGCCCGCGCAGGACACCCCTAACGGCGGAGTTATTCAGCTGCACCGAAATGCGCACAACGCGCCGACAGCACTAGAGTTGTAGCCATGGGATGCTTTGATTACGTAAGCTGACCAGAAATGCCGCCAGGCCGGTGGTGGTGCCGGCTTTGTCTAGTCTAACCACGCGACCACACAACGGGACGCCCTCGGCACGAGACGCGCCGACACTATAGGGTTCCGAACTAAACGAGTGCACGACGACGCTGCAAGTCAGCTAAGTAACATCTCCTGCCGAATCCCAATAAGACAGAAACCACTAAACACAAATCGAGTGCACCGTGCAGCTGCCAAACTGCAAGTCCCGCTGCACCCATGACCTTCCGCGGAGATGCACCGGCTTGACGTAACTGGCAACGACCAACAGAATGAAAGAATCGATGAAAAGATGGACGGCCTCACCTTGAACGTTGGAGTGGTTGACGTTGGGAGTTAGAGGAAGTCCTGCGGAGCAGCTGCGGGCGCGGACTGGCACTGCTTGGGGCTCGCGAGTGATGAGTGAGGAGATGATCGCGACACGCAACTCTGACACTTTCCAGCCGCCTATCTATACCCCCTCCAAGCCTCAAGGCTGCGTACGAAATGAATCGTTCTCTTTCCAACCCGCTCCTCTGAATGAATGGATGAACGGAGACACGGCGGCCGGTTCGAACGCGGCCCGGCTGCCATTGGGCGGCCGGCGCAGGAATACACATGCGGTGCGATCGCACTTCGAAGTACTACGTTGTACTACGTGTCGCGTTGCGCAATCCCCCGCACGTAATTGCCCGAGGCACTTAGTGTTCAGAAATTTCGATCGTCGCTGGAGAGTAAGCCATTGTATGGATAGATTGTTGCCGGGATCGCCTCTCTTAGGAACGGCTGGCAAGCTGTCAGCCTGCCCCCATCGCAGAGGCACTATGTTTTTGTAGCGGGTGGGCTGATTAGTATATGCCCGCGAAAGTAGAAAATTACGAATCGTGTCGCTGTTCTTGCGACTTGAGCTTGCGAGGTGACCGCGCTCGCAGTGCCTTCATTAGTTTTAGAGAGAATTTAAGGTTGGCCATGAGGGGAGGAAGATAAAGATAGATAGTACTTGAATTGTGTTTTATTTCCCTATTTTATAAAACAATTAAGGAATAATTAT